GATAGATTCTTGCCAATTATACTTGAATCACTACACCTGAAGTGTAGGTTGTATGATCGGTTTTAAATAAATAAATAAATAAATAAATAAATAAAGATATGTCTAATAGATATGATATTTGGCAAGATAGTGCAGTTGACACTAATAGTGTAATAGTATATAAATACCATAGTGTATGAAATACCCTAAAAGTGGTATAGATATTTGAATTATTATAATAGATGGCCTATGATGTAAGAAAAGTTATGATGGTACCAATGAAAAATGTATTCAGATATCATAGTAAAATAGCATGCGGAATATAAGTTAAAGGAATTTTATGATACCGATACATTATGGAACCAATGAATAAAATGCATATGCATAATGGAATGGACTAATGAGTAAGGGATTTGAAATATATGTACATTTTGATGTTGACATAATGATAATGATCATAAGTTTATCATGGACCCGAAGTCCAATGAAATATGGAATTTTAAATCCACACTGTACAATGTCTTGCATTATTTTGAGTCTTATTTTTATGTGCATGTGAGTCATAGGTTAATGGTTTATTGCATATGTAGGAAGTTAGATGAATTACTCATTGCATAATTTGTTTAATATGTTATCATGTTTTATATATCTCATATTGCATGGATTAATTTCTTACAATGGATGTGGTGTATGTGAATGTTCATTCAAAGTATAGTAAGACATATTTACAACGTTGATGAAAAATTAGAAAGAGATATTTATATTCCAATGGGCTTATAATTGTAATGAAATTATTGATGACACTTATTTAACTGCACGTTATGAATCATGAAAAAAGAGTTCCTAAAGAACTTATATACGACGTATTTAAATATCCATCTCTACAAAGTTTATCTCTTGAATAATGCAATTACTATCAAACTCTTGAAAAGTTTATGTAACTACATCAGTGACATCTCAACCTGAAGTTTGAGCATATGAGAGTTAATGAGATTTACTATTTGTATTTGCAAGAGACCTATCGTGTCAATTATGAAACGTCTAAAGAATATCAATGGAATAACTATGCGTGAGAATGTTTTCTTATGGTCCAGAAGAACCATGATTAGCGTATATAATTACATGTGTTATATTATATAATTCATATGAGATTTAAAAATGACAATAATATCAAGTTTTGTCATCAAATTATTATTAATGAATGTTTGATCAAGTAAATATCATCAATAACGACTTCCAGAAGAAATCATAACTACATAAGCTTAACCTTTAAATCAATTGTTAAACAGAGATTTGAAATATTGATATTAGAGAAAAACACATATATGGTGAAATGAAGACATTTCACATGTTAGTGTGAAGACTTGAAGATGCAATTTCAGTTTAGGAGGATCGAAGATCATATCAACGAGTGATATTTTACTACACATGAGAAGATATACAACATACTGGATTCATTGTTGCGTCACTAGAAGATCTCAAGTTATGTATTCATCAGGGGGAGAAATATACGCGCTGCACTCTTTTTCCCTTGACCATGATTTTGTCCGACATTGGGTTTTCCTGGTAAGGTTTTTAATGAGGCAGCATCTCGAGCGTATTACGAAGAATGTTGTACTCTTTTTTCCTTCATTAGGTTTTTATCCCACAGGGTTTTTTCTAATAAGGTTTTAACGAGGCACAATATTCGATAATATAATGGACATCTAAGGGGGAGTGTTATGAAATATTGTGTGGATATCCATTATCCTATTTTATCATCCAGAATGTTCTATATCTAGGGTTTAATGTTATTTAAACAAACCCTAGTTATATTGTATGTATATATATATCCCCACTATATGGAATAATTGAGACTGATCTATTCTCTCCCAATCCCTGATGTTTTTCCATATTCCTTATTTTTTATAACAGTAAATAAGTTTTTTTAGTTTTTTAAATAATTTAAATTATAATAGCCCAAGATAATTTTTAGTTCTTAAAAAAAAGATAATTATTAGTTTTTTTTTTTACATAATTTAAATCTTAATTAATCACTATTCGTTGTTTTTACCTAAGTGGAAAACTCTAAAATCTCATTTGTAATTTTTACTTAGGTGGTGAGTGAATTTTTAATTCTAAAATAAAATACAAATCTAATTTTAATTGGTCAAAATGATTTCTTTGTTTATGTGGCGCGCCGAATGCTCCTGAAAAATGCCTACTTTATTTATATACTTTTTTTGTGCTAGGACGATGTCCGGATTGTCTTAAACTTTTTAGCTTAAAAGGAAACTATTTGTAGTTTTATTTGTAAATATATATCTATGTTATTATCAATTTGAATTTTTTCTTATTGCAATTAAATTATTTCTCATGAACTGAAAGTATTTTTACTAAACTAAAATTATTTTTTTGGTTAAAATTTATTATTATTATTATTATTATTATTTTTTTTTTGCTGATTTTTTATTTTTTTTAAATATATTATAAATGAACCTCATTTAAACTTTTTCTCTAAAATTTCTTGTTTTCATGTTGAATTCTTCATTTTATAAACTATAATACTTACTAAGCTTAATTATCTCGATTGTTAACTAAATTAAATATATTATAAATGAATCTTATTGTAAATAATTTTTCAAAATGAATTTTATGATGGAAATAAAACTGAGTTATAAGATATTTATTAAAAGTTATGATTAATTTTGTGTATATGAAATATTATTAGAAGTATACAGATAATAAAAAGAAGTATAGTGATAATAAAACTCTATACAACATTTTAGAGCCTGTTCACATTTATTAAACTAAACTGAACAGAACAGAACTAAACTGAACTGATTGTAGCTAAACTGAACTGAACTGAATAGAGCTGAAATGAATATTTTATAAGAGAAAGAAATTAGGAATTGAACTGAATCGATTGGAGCTGAACTGAACTGAAATTAAGCTGAAGTGAATAGACCCTTATTCTCAAAAAAATCTATCCAAAATTTGCTTACTTAGCATCATACGTGTCAAAATTAAATATATTTGTACCTTACGTGGCTCGACACTTGGCCAAAAACTGGAATGCTAAGTGTCGTCTCTTGGCCTGGCTCTAAGACCAACTTTATATAATATATTAGTGATTTGATATGATATTAAATACACCCTCCGTGTTTAAATTAAGTGTTACAATTTGACCAAACATGCATGTTGAGACACAACTTTGATCATTAATTTATCTAATTATATGTTAATAAAATTATAGAAAAATTGATATTATGAAAGTATACATTATAAAGAATCCAACAATGTCATACAATAACAATTTTTTTATATATATTAAATTAATCAAGTCAAAACCATAATGTAAATAGTGAAATAAACAAATTATAACACTTAATAAAATACGGAGAGAGTATTAGATTTGTAAAATATAAATTTTAAATGGTTGCAATTGACAAATTTTCCGGAATATGCTTAATATGGACATTATCATTTGAATGTGAAGTGCGTGTGGAATATGCTTGATTTGGGCCCAATAAGTTGCATGACTTGGGCCCAATAAGTTGCATGAGTTCGGCCCAACAAAAAGGTATAAATTGTACAAGTTTTTATTAAGAGTATGAAGACATACTGTCACAACTTCCTGTTCAAACGCTTCTTCGCTATAAATCCGTCTGCAAATCGTGGAATTCCATAATCAAAAACCCCAAATTCATCAAAATTCACCTCAATCAAACCTAATCTCTGACTCTGATCGTCATCTTCTTATTTCAATCGATTCCCAATCTCTTTTCTGCTCTTCCGAGCTCAAAATCAACCATAAATCCATCTCTTTCTCGAATTCTCGGAGCTCAACCACCCTCTTCAAAAAAAAAAAAAAAAAAAAAAAAAAAAAAAAGAAAAAACCACCCTCTCAAACCCCAGAAAAGAGTCGATATCATTGGTTCCTGCAACGGCATCGTTTGCATCTCCGACTTCCCCAACAACAATATCTTGTTATACAATCCTCTCACAAATTCACATTGTAAGCTTCCTTCAAATCAAATTTCAATCCCGGATCGTCATATTGTTGTGTCTGGGTTTGGGTATGACAGCAAGAATGACGATAACAAAGTTTTGAGGATTGTTCAATGGTTTGGAATTTTTTATTGGTTTGAAAGGACTGATAATTATAACACTAAAGTCAAGTGTATAGTTTGAAGAATAATTCATGGAGATATATAGAAAATGTTCAAAACTATTCGTTTGGTGAATGTTGTTACCATGGTGTTTTTTGTTAATGGTGCTTTGCATTTTAAAGTTAAGGAGTTCATTGTAAGCTTTGATCTTCTTACTGAGAGCTTCTCGCAAATCGATTACCCGAATTATGCTTACAAGTTTAGGTATAGTCCTACTGTTGCATTGACAGAATTACATGGGTGTTTATGTGCGTTGAGAAAATGTTATGAAAGTGGTGGTGGTTTGATGATTGGAAAGGTTGAATTGTGGGTAATGAAGGAATATGGACTATGGAAACAAAGAGTCTTGGGTTAAGTTGTTTAGTATTAGTGACCCCATTGGGAGACGTAATTATTATAATTTGATTAAGCCTTTTCTTTACAGGAAAGATGATAGAAGAATTTTGTTTGAACTAAATGATGGGGATTATTTTTGGTATGATTTGGAGTCCAAAGATGTTAAAAGAATCGCGACACATGAGCTGCCAAAGGGAGGTAATAGAAGGGGAGTGCAAATATTAATTGGCATCCTTGTTTCGTTTCAAGATAAAGATGGTTTATGAAAGGTACTGTAATTTGCAAGATAAAGATACGGTTGATTACCATTAGGAGTATAGAATGTAGAATTGCAGATAACATTACTGACATTTTTCTAGTCTGACCGGGGTAATGTTATTTATGTTTTAAATCATAGAATGATTTGATATGGAATATGTTCATAAGCTCTTAATAATTGATTTTGTGTGCCATTTTTCTGCTATCCTTTTGGTTTAGATTTTATAACTAGACAGTTTTATACTTCGGGTTTTTTTTTTTTTTTTTTTTTTTTTTTTTTTTTTTTCCTTTTGGATTAGTTTTATACTTCGTATTTAGTATACCATATACAAAGTATATATTTCAGTTGTTATGATTGTATTTATGGGGACAGCATTGTGGAGGTGGTGGAAGGAGATTCTGCTTTAAATTTACAATCGTTTTTGATTTGTTCATATTAGTTTTGCTTATCTCAAATGTTTGAAACATGGTTGTCCATGGTTTAGTTAAACTGATCACTTCAAAATTGGAAATGGTTTAACACTTGTAGTATTGTTTTATACGAAGAACTTTGTAACTTTTATTATTACTTCTTGTATAGTCCCTCTAGCTTGAAGTGTCAGGATTGGATTTTTTTTGGATTTGGATTTTGCATTTTTTTTAGTGTACTCTGCTTCCCTGATTTGAGATTCCTTTTTGGCTAAATGCAAAAAACACAAAAAAAATGAAGAAATATAAAGAGGAGAGGGTGCTAAGAAGAAGTTCCCAGGGAAGTAAACGAGCTTGCATTGCACTTCGTATGTTAGTAAATGGCCAATTGAATTTCCTGTCAAAAAAAAAAAAAAAAAAAAAAAGCTCATTAGAATATAAGCTGGTCACCTGAACATCAAAAATTCAAAACTTATAAACAGGATTACATATTTACAAGTATTACAACAGCCCTTTTAGAGCTTAAACTCTTAGAGATAATCCTTAATGATATTCTGTTAGTTGGACCAAATTTTTAAATATGGTCATGCTAATCTTGGCTTCTAGTTTAGCAACACCACCCAGCTGGTAAACTTAAGTTTTACATAAAGGTAGCAAACCTTGAAGAATCTAGTTTCCCATGCTTAACATAGAATTTTCGGAAGGATCAAATACTGGATTTGGAGGACATGATATATGTGGCTTTGGTGGCACTTTTAGTGACTCCAGTTGACCTTCTAGCATTTCTAAAACTCTGTTCATAGGTGGTCGATTTGAAGGATATGATTGTATACACCATAAGCCCACCAAAATCATCTTTCTTTGTAATTGCTTCGCTTCATCATCTTCTATTATCCCATCGTTCTCAATTTCATCTCTGAGCTCCAATCGACGGTATATCCAATCAGGGAAATACATATCACTAGTACGCTGTGCTTCAGCAACTACATTGTTCCGACCACATACCATGTCTAGGAGCATCATTCCGTAGCTATAAACATCTGATTTATGAGAAACGCCACCAAAATTTCTGCAGAAAACTTCTGGGGCAATGTAACCAATTGTCCCTCTTGCTTCTGACATTGATATCAAACTTTCCTTTGGACAACACAGTCTAGCCAAACCAAAGTCTGAAATCTTTGGACGGAGCTCTTCATCAAGAAGTATATTATGAGGCTTAATGTCAAAGTGTAAAATTCGCGTATTACAACCTCTATGCAAGTAGTCAAGTCCCTTGGCAATTCCAACCGCAATGCTGTATAATGTATTTGATGGCAACGACTGACCACTTGCTGAACTATATATAAACTTTTCAAGAGATCCGTTGGGCAAGAACTCAAAGACAAGAGCTCGTTTGTTTCCTTCAAAACAAAAGCCTAAGAGGGTCACAATGTTGACATGATTAGTTCTACCCATGCTTACAACCTCGTTGATAAAATCATCTCCATCACCTTCCAACTTCTTTAACTTCTTTACGGCCACCAAACGACTGTCATGTTGGTTTCCTTTGTAAACAGCACCGTAGCCTCCTTCACCAAGTTTGTGTTTGAAATTACTGGTCATTTTCCTTATCTCTCTATAGGTGTATCTTTTTGGGGCTAAAGATCCATAGCTTTTTAGAAAAGCTTCCACATTTTGGTTCATTGCAGTCCCTTTATTCCACAGAGCTGTAAATCTTTTTGTTCGTTGTCTTCGTTTTCCACAAATAATGATGACGATTAAAGTGACCAAAACCACAGCCCCAAGTGATGAACCTAATACAACTATGGAGAAAAACAAGTTATAATTCTGGTAAGCAATAATACAAGATCTAAAATCCACAATAAAAGAGAGCATTTTCTATCTTTCAACCCTGCAGTTAGCATCTGCATGACTGCACCAGTGCACACTATACAAATAATATATTTTTACTAAGGAAGATGGAATTCATGATAAGTATGAGAAATTCCCTGTTTCTTTGGTGAGAAACGAAATTTGTTTCTCATGGGGGCAATTTCGTGAATAAATCAATAACTCTTTCATTATTGTGGGCTCCACAGTTGAATAAAGTTGTTGATTTATTTACGAAAATGTAATGTGAGAAACAAAATCTGTTTCTTATCGTGAGAAACTGGGGCACCCTCTGATAAGTATTTCATAGTAAAAGCTGTTGTTGTATGACTTGTATCAAGTGTTTTGCAGAGCATAGAAGTCACCTTAGTAAAGGATATGTACTGTAAAAACAAACGAGAATTCATTACCTGAGAGTGAACTGACTCTTGCAATCCAAGGTTCTGCAAGAAAAATAAAGGCATGGCTTCTCCATCATGCAGCTCAAATGACATATGAGTATTGTAACGGCCTCAACTAAACACAAACTTATTACAGCATTCTATAGTTTTATTACTTAACTCAGACACTCAGTTAATGAAAAATTAATCAAGGTATATTTTACTAGTCTTGGTTAAATAAAGGCATGGCTTCTCCATTATAAACGCAAATGATACATTAGCAATTAGAAATATAAAGAGAATGTTTTAATAACACAATCAAGAAAGCAGTCAGGCAGATTGGTATGACATATAGTGATTGATCATCATGGGATTTCATGATGGCGTAATCATAACAAGTCACGGTCACTATGAATGCTGTACGATTGTTTCAGTCTGAATAAATTGAAATTTATGGTGATATAGAAAGAGCAACTCTGATGCTTAATTAGCTCTCAGCACGTACATATTTGCATCGATAAGCTGCTTTTTTCAGTTATGCTAATTGATCAAGCAGTCCAAATTTACTAACATTAGGGATATTAAGAATAACTATTTCTCGAGCTTACAAAATGTAATCCTCCAAACTAATTAAGTTAATAAAGAAATCATTGGCACCAATTAAAATGGATAAAAATCGTCATAGCACATTACACTTCCACACACATGCCTACATAGACACATCTTTGACAAAAAAACAAAGATAGCATAACCAACAGACTACATCATTCCTCACTCGCATTACTCTCTAAACTCGTTTCCAACCACATTTACTTTGCTACATAATCATCATAGCACATCACACTTCCACACACATGCGTACATAGACACTCCTATGCAAAAGACTATGTTTACTTCACCTGATTTTACTTATTACAATTCTCCAAAAAAAAAAAAAAAAAAAAAAAAAACTTATTACAAATCATATCAGAAAAAATAAGTTTAGACGTACCCTTTGAATTATCATTTTTTTCCATTTTGATGTAATTATAAGCTTTTCAGTGCAATGTGATCATATAATTATAAGCTTATAAAATAAGTTTAGAGTTGCCTATAATTCATATAATTGTACCGACTTATTTAAAAATAAGTTTTGACATACCTTATCATCTATATGGAAGTAGTAGTAATAATAATAATAAGTTTTGACATACAATTATTCTATATCCGGTTTTAAATATCTTTAATGCTATGAAAGGCAAATTGTAACGAATTTAACAAGATTTCATTTGATATATATATTTTTGGAAAATTTGTAAATATTAATCCCAACTTTGCTCCATTTTCTTTTAATAATCCCAACTTTGAATTATTCTAGAATAATCCCAACTTTGGGGGTTTTTTATTTTCTTCAATCCCTTTTACCGGTTACCGGTTGAAAAGGTTATTTTCTTTATATTGCCACGTGTTGAGATCCAATTAGCCAAAATAATAAAATAAAAAAAAGCAAAAAATTTTTTTTAAAAAATAAAAATCCCAGCCCCCACCGCCCACCGGAACCCTAGCAGCCCCAATCCCTTCCCGCGTCAGAAAACCTCACCGTACCCCTCCTCCCGCTGCCGCCTTGCCACCACTCCTCCTGTCCCGTCGTACCCTCCCCTTCCTTCCCCTTGAATCACATCCCCGAAAACCACCTATCTCTCCTCGATGCAAGCATTTAAAACCTCCCCCGCCGCTCCAAAAGCCCACGAAACCCCTCCCCCAACCCTCGAATCTCTTGAGACAGGTGTTTCGTGGGTGGGGAAAGGGTTTCGTGGGCTTTTGAACTATTTGAAGCCGCAAGGGAGGTTTTTATTAGTTGTTTCGAGGAGAGAGAGGGGGTGAACGGTATGGCAGGTGGTGGCGGCTGGCCGACGAGAAGGTTGGGTTGGGTTTGCCGGTGGGGTAAATGGGGTTAGGTAAGTTTTCCGGTGGGTTAAGGTGGATAGGGGCGGCTGGGGTTTGGGAAACCGGTAGGCGGTGGTGGAGGGGCTGGGTGGGGATTTCATTTTTAAAATTTTTTTTTCTTTTTTTTAATTTTTTTTCTTTTTTGGACCAATCACAATGTGACTTGTGTCACGTAATTTGTGATAGCAGGTCATTGACTTTTGTTGACCGGTTTGGGATTGAAGAAAATAAACAACTCCCAAAAGTTGGGATTATTAAAAGAAAATGGAACAAAGTTGGGATTAATATTTACAAATTTTCCTATATTTTTTTCTAAAAAATTAATGTACATTTAAGGTTAAAGTTTAGTCAAATAAATCAAATCAAATATGAAAAAATAGGTAAGATTAGATCAGATTGTAAAATACTAGTCTATATTAAATTATAGGAAAAATTCATTTTATAAATCCCAACTTTGGGCGGTTGACTTAAAAAAATCCCAACTATGTGTTATCTTGGAAAAATCCCAACTTTCATACCCATTTTCTTTTAGAGGACCCAGCAGGTCACCAAACCTACTACTTTAGGTTTCTAGGCCACGTGTCACACTTTAATTGGTCTAAAAAATTCAGAAAATTAAAATAAATCAGAAAATTAAAAAAATCAGAATTTTTTTTAAAAAAAAAATCAGAAAATTCAACATAAAAAAAATCAGAAATTAAAAAAAATATCTGAAAATTAAAAAAAAAATCAGAAAAAATGTAATATAAAATAAAATAAAATAAACAACCAGCAACCCCCACCCTCAAAACCACCAGCCCCCCTCCCCCGGGAAGAATCCCTCCGTCCCCTGCCAGAATTCCCCCATCCCGATACTACCTTCCCCGACCCTCCGCCTCTTTCAGTTGCCGGAAAATAACCCCCACCGTCGCAAAACCCTCCCCCTCCCTAAATCTATCCCGTAAAACTACTCTCCCCTAATCCCCCACACTCAAAAATGCCCCACCTCCCTTCCCTCACCCCTGAAATCGACCCACGGGGAGGGAGGGGGCGTTTTTCGAGGGTGGAGGTTTGGGGAGGGGTGGTTTTATGGGGAGGTGGGAGGGTTTCGAGGGTGGGGGAAGGAATAGGGGTGGGTTTTGAGGCAGGGGAGGGCTGGGCGCCGAATTCCGGAGTGACGGGAGGTGTTTACAGGGGTGGGGGACGAATTACCGGTCGGGTGTCGGGTCTTGGTTGTTTACCGAGATGGAGGCTGCTGGTTTGGGTAGGGGGCTGGGTAGTTGGTTTTTTTTTTTTTTTAAAAAAAAATAAATCAGATTTTTTAAAAACAATTACTAATTTTTATTTTTTGAGCCACTAACTGTGTGACACATTGACAATTTTTAAAAAAAATTAAAAAGTTAACCTTTTCTTCAGGTAACAGGTCATTTGGGTCTTATGAAAGAAAATACCCCTAAAAGTTGGGATTTATTAGGGAAAACGCGTAGTTGGGATTTTTAAAAGTAAAACGCCCAAAGTTGGGATTTATAAAATGAATTTTTCCTAAATTATATAAGCAAAATATGGTGAACTAAATAGGCTCTTACCTTGAATAGGAGGCTGCGATGAAGTACAAAAAAGAGAATGAGTTCGATCAGGACAGAAACAATTGAATTGATTATTAGGCTCATCAAACCCGCAATGCCCTCCAGTTTCTAAGCAGGCAGTACAATTATAGGCTTTCCAGTTCAACAACACTCCCCTTTCAAGCATATCCATAACTTTGCCTTTAGTCTGACCCTCATCATAGTAAGGCACTTCAATAACAACTCCATTACACTTTTTCTTCAAATCCTGCAATTTTGAGTCATTTTTGTAGACTGCCAACTTCCCACATTCCACTATTTTCTCCCTGTATTCTTTCAAAACCTTCTCAGGACAATCAGGAAACACATATACATAATCATGATTCGTCGAGAACTTCATCAGATCATTCTGTATCGACAGATTATGAAGAGGATGGAAACAACCCTGACTACTCGGAACCTCTTTAACAAGAGCTGAGTTTATGACTTGAAACTTCTGACTTTCATAAGAAATATTTTTAATAATATAAGCATCTCCTGATATATTGAACACAGGAAAACTGTCAGAATTGCAGGACACCCCAAAACCAGGATACCCACAATATGGTTTTTGATCATTTTGTATATGAAATGAATACTTTATGATTTGATTCCCACATTTTCTGGGCTCACAATCACCATAATGATTTTCTGATAATGAGAGCAGAAGATGAAACTGAAGTAACAGAGTGAGAATGTGGGATGGAAGTTTCTACAAACAAGCACTTTTCTGACTGAGACTATTAGCTATGATAAGATTAATCTGGTCAAAAACTGGTAAAGAAATATAAAAAAAGTCCTAATTAAGATAATTTATAATTGATTAAAGACTCGAAATTTATTTATGCAAAATGACTTCAGGAACTCTGAAATTTTTAACCTTTAACTACAAAAATAAGGCTTTAAAAAAGACAGTTGGTCCACATCAAAATTCTGATTTGCATATTGGACAATCAATATGATAAACTATCTCTTTGGTTAATCAGACAAGAATACGGTTGCATGAGGACAGATCTTCAGAGTCAACTAGCCAACTCTGCAAGCTAAATCTACTTCTAATAAGCAATAAAATCTACCCTATGTTGGCGCTCATGGAAGCAATGATTGAAATCGCCTTACTCTTTCTATTTAGTCTAGTAGCTACTTTGTGAAAATTTCATAGCAAAGTAACAATATCTCCTACTGTCAGAGTAATGTTGAGGACTGAAGGAACGCGTCATAGGAAGGCATATCAGTTAAAGACTTGCACTCTAAATCAGGATAGCCAGTCTAGCCACTTCTCAGCATTTACTTAGCACACATGCTTCACAACAGTAGAGTTAAAAGTGAATATTAGGCTAATCTTTGCAGATAGGCACAAACGTGAAAGATGGGTTTGAGTGAGATCGCAAGGACAAAGAGATAGCCAAAAATGGGCACTATTATGGGACTGCCAAAAAAAGTGCATTAAATGCTGGCTTTTTGAGCATAAACAATATGAATTAAATTCTAAACTCAAGACTAAAGGTCGAAGTCAAGGACTAACATAGGAGCTCAGAAAAGTCAGGTAGCAGCTCATGATGCTTTCATTTTACTGGCCTTTGTGATCTATTTGCTTGACCATCAAAGTAGTATCCACTAAACTTAATACCTTATGATTCGGAAACCCTTTCAAACTGAATTTAATGAGCAACTAACTCAGGGTTGTCCAAGAAATCTAGAAATTACCGTACTACGCAACAAAACAAGTCCAAAGTATTCTTATAAGCTGTAGCCTTTCTTGGAAATATTAATTCCAAAAACAAAGTGCACAAACAAAACATCAAACATTTACAAAAATAGCATAACCACCACATAAAAATGCATACAACTTAAATTAAAGAAAGACTACATCATTGCCCCTTAGATTCTCTTCTAACCAAATTTGCTACAAAATCTTAACTTCATTGCCCCGAACTCTTCATAACACATTGCACTTCCACACATACACACGCACACGCACGCACGCACACACACAAGGGTGAAGACAGTAAGAGGGAAAAAAGTGGAGAGACTTACTATGAACCTGTTGAATTGGAGGACAATGAAGAGCATGAGTTCGATCAAGACAGAAACAATTGAATTGATTATTAGGCTCATCAAACCCACACTGCCCTCCAGTTTCTAAGCAGGCAGTACAATTATAGGCTTTCCAGTTCAACAACACTCCCCTTTCAAGCATATCCATAACTTTGCCTTTAGTCTGACCCTCATTATTATAAGGAACTTTAATAACAACTCCTTTGCACTTTTTCTCCAAATCCTGCAATTTTGAGTCATTCTTATACATTGCCAAACTCCCACAATTCACTCTTTTATCCCTGTATTCTTTCAAAACCTTCTCTGGACAATCAGGAAACACGTATACATAATCATGATACGTCGAGAACTTCATCAGATCATTCTGTATCGACAGATTATGAAGAGAATGGAAACAACCCTGGCTACTCGGAACCTCTTTAACAAGAGCTGAGTTTATGACTTGAAACTTCTGACTTTCATAAGAAATATTTTTAATAATATAAGCATCTCCTGATATATTGAACACAGGAAAACTGTCAGAATTGCAGGACACCCCAAAACCAGGATGCCCACAATATGGTTTTTGATCATTTTGTATATGAAATGGATACTTTATGATTTGATTCCCACATTTTCTGGGCTCACAATCACCATAATGATTTTCTGATAAAGCGAAAAGAAGATGAAATTGAAGAAATAGTGACAGTGTTAGACTGTATATTCTTTTCATTTTGTTATCTCTTGTATTGAAAATTTGAAATGTCAACAAAGATAAGGTGTATTTTCATATTAATCAAAGACGTTATGAAGTCATTAATAGTAGTCGAGTTGACGTACTATAGATCTGGACTCAGTCAATTCATGTACACTGAGAAAGTACGAGTTCTTATCTTACGTAAAAGCTATTAGTACTAATTTTCATTGAAAATATTTTTCGTGTAACAACACGAGCCATACAGTAGTAGCAACATTATTGAAGTTGAAAAGGTCAAAGCTGAAATTTCTTGGCACAGGGACCCTTTCTTTAATTTGGACACAAATATAGTGATACGGCGTAAAGGGAACATTATATTTCAGTTTTAGAAATTCAGTCCAAAACATAGGAAGTTTGGTTTAAACTTCAGATGCATTAAATCACAGTACTCTTAGAAAAGTCTACAAGACATTTTAGTTTGAATTATATGACATTAATCTACCAGGAATATATGAAGCTTTTGCCCTTAATTTAATGCATATTATGTTCAAGTATAAGCTGGCTAGTGCAAACATGAATCAATAATTGTTCTGTTCATTGCAACACATAATGGTTTCAGAATTTTGATTTATTACAAAACAACATTGGATTTGTGCAAAAATTGGTGGCCAGTATTAACATCAGTAAGCTAAGATCGGTCCTTGTAGAACGTTAAAGACTTTTAGTCTGTTGTTCCATATCTATGGAATTAAGCCTCTTAGGCTGTCTACCTTTGATTCAATAGTCTCACCTTGCCGGTCTACTGAGAAGGTCGTATCCATGGTAGGGAAAGGCTTCCTTCCTTGGTGGTACGTACCAGGGACCTCACACCTCTTCACCAAGGTCTTACTTGGGAACCATTGAACCAACCTGGAAAGCAATCCCGAATTGTCCGTACCTTACATCACAGTTGATTGAAGGTGGTGTCAAACCAAAAGCATCGCGATTCGCTACGCCCCTCTCGGTTAGCTCGTTAAAAATCCCCTTTGATTATTATATGTAATTTGTAAAATCAAAATTATACAAATCATAATATTTTACTATGAATAAGGAATTATCTGTAGTGCTGAAAGTAGAATTGATCACGGAATTTGGAATTGAAGATAGGTGTGGCATAGGAGGAACTTGTATTGATTCAAGCGAACCTTCCAGCATTTCTATAACTTTGTCCATAGGTGGTCGATTTGAGGGGTATGATTGTATGCACCATAATCCCACCAAAATCATCTTTCTTTTTAACTCTTTCTTTTCCCCATTCATGATCCCATGTACCTCAAGGTCCAATTGACGGTATATCCATTCAGGAAAATACATTTCACTGCCCTGTTGAGCTTCAGCAATTACATTCCTTCGTCCACATACCAAGTCTAGGAGCATCATTCCATAACTATAAACATCTGATTTATTAGAAACGCCACCAAAATTATTTCTACAGAACACTTCTGGAGCAATATAACCAATTGTCCCTCTTGCTTCCGACATGGACACCAACCTATCCTTTGCAGGACACAGTCTAGCCAAGCCAAAGTCTGAAATATTTGGACAGAATTCTTCATCAAGAAGAATATTATGAGGTTTGATATCAAAGTGTAAAATCCGTGCATTACAACCTCGATGCAAGTAGTCAAGCCCCTTAGCAGTGCCAACTAAAATACTATACAATGTTTTTGATGGCAAAGACTGGCAACTTGCTTCATCATATATGAACTTTTCAAGAGACCCATTTGGCAAAAACTCGTACACAAGAGCACGTTTATCTCCTTCAAACTCTTCAAGTTTTTTACGTCCACAAAGCGACCATCATGCAATTCGCCTTTGAAAACAGCACCATAGCCTCCTTCCCCAAGTTTCACTTCGAAGTTATTGGTCATTCTTTTAATCTCTGAGTACGCAAATCTGTTTGGAGCAAGAGATCCATAGCTTTTCAGAAAGGCTTCTACATTTCGGTTCCTTGTGGTTGTTTTATTCCCCAAAATCTTAAATCCTTTTGATGTTCGCCTTCTTTTTGCGTATGTAATGATAGAAACAATCAAAATAACAACACCCAATGATGAGGCAGTTGCAACTGTAGAACAAAGAAGCCAATAAACTAATAAGCATTTAACTTCCTGCATATAGCAGTTTTATAGCACTCCATATGTTTTTTTAAGTGACCTCGGCCTAGTCAATATACACTAGGAATGAAAATTAGATAATACACCCGGGTGCACCATGCTCATGGTGCACCCGGGTAAACAAAAAAAGGCGGAAAGAACATATAGTGTTTGATAAAGAACATACCTATGTTTGACAAAGAACATACCTTTAATATGTTATTTGAGTGTGATCAGTGTGTTCTTTGAGTAAAATTATATGTTATTTACATTATAACTTATGTTATTTAACATATGTTGATAAACATATTTTTTTTGGGTTTAATAATACAAAGTATGTTCTTTGAATTTGGCGTGTATGTTCTTTAAGGTCGTAGTGACGCCCAAATTCTATTTTTTATTATCATGTCATATTTAAATTACTTTTATTATCGCACATTCTTTGAGTTTGATTAGTGTGTTATTTAGGTATTAACTATATGTACTTTACAATATAAATTATGTTCTTTTTAACATTTGGTATTTTGAAATTTGATATTGAAATCTTAAATTATTTTTAATTGAAAATAATGTTAGAGTAAAAAAAACTAAATTATTATGGGAAGTTGAATTTTTTTTTGGAGAGATAGAAAACTATTTTTTGGGGAAATGATATCTTTGGTAAGGATTTTTTAAGAGGTGATCAACATTGGCATGACTCACATCCCGACCCGATCCGGCCTGAAATAGGGTGGGTTTGGGCAAACCTAAAAAATCTTTTTCTAACTGTGATCTTCCGTTCATCATAGGGGACTCACATCCGGGTTCGAAAAAAGCCCGAAAACCCGCTACTTTTCTACGGGTTTGAGCACGAGAAATTATGATATGGCCCGACCCTACTCGATTATTTATCACTTCTAAATTTTTCCCGTTAATAATGTGTAATTTTTCAGAAAATTTTATCAAGCTTTTATCTCGTTCTTTTTATTATATCTTTATGTTCTTTGGTAATGCATGTTTTTGTCAAATACAACCATGTTCTTTGTCAAATACATGTATGTTCTTTATGAAACACAGGATGTACTTTCCGCCTTTTTTTTATTTATCCGGGTGTATGATGAGCACTGTACACCCGTGTGTATAAACCACAGATTACACTAGGAAGAGTAGCGTGAGGTTTTTTTTTTTTTTTTTTTTTTTTTTTTTTATCTGTGAGACAATTTACACATGCAAACATAAATTCAACAACCTTTTTCTAACTGTGATCTTCCGTTCATCATAGGGGAGTGCACAATTTTATTTTTGTAGTGGAAAAATGGAAGGGAAGGAAAGAAAACAATACAATATTATCCATATACTTGTAACTTGTTAGTATCTAAACAAAAAGACTTGTGTGGACCTGGTCCATAATAATATTATTGTGGACCCGAGGTCTATACACATGCAACTAACATTATATTGAACATAGTGACCATTATTTTTAACATAGTAACCTTATTTTTAACATAGTAACCTTTATTAAAACTACTACAACGTTTAATAATATTGTGAACTTGAAAAACGACGCTATTACCCTAATTTTAACATAGTGGCTTTTATTATTCATATTGATCGGTATATAAAATATTTCATTACAAAAATAATCACTTAGGCCTATATAATACCAAAATGATTTTTATTTCAATATAGTGACCTTTTATTTTAATTATAGTGACCCTTTTTTTATTATTAAAACAACCATACTTTCTCTAATGTTAGTGGTCCACAATAAATTAATGTGAATCAGGTCTATTTAAGAATTTGTAGTATCTAAATACTATAACTAAAGTAAAATCAGACACCGGGAATGGGTTCAAAAAAAAAAAAAAAAGACACCGGCAATAACGCGTCTCTTTCTAGTGCAAATTTTCCCACCAAAAAACTAATGCCAAAACAAAAATATTCAAAAAATTTCACAAATTCTTATATCCGTGTGGCCATCCATTATGGGCAGGGTTACTTCGTTAGCATTAAATAGGTTACTTAGTCAGTATTATAAGGGTTACTGTTTCGGGGTTTTCTGATGTCCTGCGGGAGAGTTACAATTCCGAGACTGGAACCGGACGCCTGTACCTGCAAAATAACGGAGACTCCTGGGAGCTCCGCCTCCAACGGTCAAGTTAGTACTTGATTAAGGAGTAATTAATGCGGAAATTAAAGTGATTGGGTCTCTCTAAGTGAGAGTGTTTAATGTAGGTAATCTGCTTTGTTAGCGAGATCAGCCAGTTATTACTGTGTGTAATTAATGTGTTTTTCGTCTTTTTTTCCTTAATGAGGATTAAGGGAGGTATTTATAACCTTGGGAAACGTGCCCATCCTAGGTTTAGGTTAACCTAGGGCCGATTGGGCTTCCCTCGGAAGTTGGGCCTGGGTGGTCGGGTTCTCCATTAGGCATGGAGTATGCCACATGTCATGACATAATAGGTCCAAGGTGGACAAATAAGCGCATGCCACGTGGCAAGCCCTGACAGTTCCAACTGGGGACACTTGGCAGGACCAGATTAGCCCACGTGGCGCATTCCGATTGGTGGGAGCAAAATCCCCTAATCATTTGCCCCTCACAGGTGGCACGTGATTGGTCACGTGTTACCTGTGATAGGTGTCGCACTGTAACAGGCGGCGAAAGGCCGAGAGATTTTCCCGCCTAAATTTTGAATTCTGAAAGTGACCCTTCGCCTTCTCACTTCGCTTATATAAGGGAGAGTTGTCTTGAGTCATTTTCACACTTTGAGAACTTTTTGAGAACATTCGGACCCCTGAACTTGCTCTGACATTTCGGACCTTTTCTGCCTACCGCCTGTTCTGACAAGCCGACTGCACAGGATTTTCAGAACTTCATCAACCGTCACTCGTTCAGGTAACTGCTAGTTCTCTTACTCTTAATTTTCTTTTTATTTTTTGAAATGGCACCACGGAAGCACACGAC